AGGAAAAATATGCAATATGAAAATAATTGAAGACAAAATGTGTTTTACTGAGAAAAAACAAGATTTGGGTTTTAAAAAGCCTTTTTCCAAAAGGTACATCTGGAAAAAGGGGGGTCGTCTTATAATCAGGGTCGTCTTATATTCGGGCCAATACGGTAATAGTGAATATGTGTTCCCTATTCTAAAAGTGTTACCAAATTTTTATCAGTATCTACTTGTTTTTATGTGAGGTTCCTGTAACGTACGTGTTCGGTCACACTTTAGTTTAGGGACCAATTCCCACTATTAACAAAGACTTTTGCCTCAGTAAACTCCTAATTTGCTGCTTACTAATAATTAGGTGCTTATTAAGTTTAGGTGTGGGGTAGGATTAAGGGATCTAAATATCGTCATGCAGAATAAGGCATTAATATGTGTACTAATAATCAGCCAATATGCTAGTAATATGCATGTTAATAAGCAACTATTCAATAGTGAGAATCAGTCCCTAAACTGAAGTGTTACCTTGTCAGCATCTCCTATTTCCTTTTTTTGGACATAAAATTGCACAGTGTACATTTGATGCTCTCAAATTTTGGTGAAACTACATGCCTTGTAACTGTGTAATTATAATTCCCACTTTCACCAGCACATTTATTTTTCTCTTCCCCACACAGAGCCAGATGTGATCAGGAATCTCAAAGTGACTGAAATCACAACATCATCTGTGTTTCTGACATGGGATGAACCAGCCGGAAATAGAGATTTTTTTAGAATTGAATGGACTAAGAAAAGTATGCTTGAAAGAACTGGTGGAACAAGTGGAAATTCAACAGAAACTATTAACAATTCCTCTCTCATCACTGGTCTGACTGCTGGAGTCAATTACACATTCTGCATCTCTGCTGTGACAGCAGATAAATCAACAAAAGGAGAAACTCATTGCATCTCACAATTTACAAGTATGTAAAATTCTAAAATATCTGTCCTAAATAACTTTGTACAAATCTGATCACAATCCAAAGGTCCCACAACAAATATCAGAATAATGTTGTGAGTTTCAATGTAACCTCAATCAGAAAATGAAATAAAACAGATTGTGTGTTTTTTAAGGCTAACCTATTGCATCTCAGTGTATATTAGCATGTCATCTTGTTTCATTAAGTGATCTGGTTAATATTATAATCAATGTCTTTATTCTGATTAAATTTTTTTTTTAAACACATTACTGTTGTTTCTTCATTAGGAACTTGTTTAATAATATAATCACATTTATTATCATATTCTCATGTAGATTCCACAGAGTCTAACACAGAGTCTAACATTGGGCTGATTGTTGGTGTCGTTTTGGCAGTGATCTGTTTTCTCTTCATCATCACTCTCATTCTCTTCTTCTATTCAAGAAGGCGAGTTGCATTCAGTGTCATCAGAGAATTGAATACTGGATAGAGCTCAAGATACAGAAGTCTTCCAGATTCATTTTAATAACATTTCTTTATTTCTCTCTGTTCCAGACAAACCAAAAAACAATGTCCCGACATCCCTGTACACACCATTAGGTAACTTTGATTGATATGTGTATAGTTAAACATTTATTTGACAAAACTTAAAATTGTTAATGCATTCATTTTTTCTTTCTATTTCCAGCGATAAAATGTAAGTCACATTTTATTATCTATTAGTTTTTAATGTTGAAACATGATTCTTTACAATTTATTGTATGTTTTATGTGTTTGTTTTATGGTACACAGTAATATTGCTTTGAGAATAGAAGATTATGAAGAGTACTTTAAGCGGAAACATGCAGATTCCAACTGTGGTTTTGCTGAAGAGTATGAGGTACACATGGGAAACACACACACACACACACACACACACACACACACACACATATATATATATATATATATATAACGCTCTGCTTCGTATGATAATATTATAAAACTGTTTACTCAGGAATTGTCACAGAAATGATTTTATAAATGAGTGTTTTCAAGGTCAAGACCTAAAGAAGTGCTATGTTGTTGCAGGAGTTGAAAACTGTTGGAACAGCACAGTCAAAGAACACCGCCCTGGCTATTGAAAACAAGGCAAAGAACCGTTACAGCAATGTGTTACCTTGTGAGTACACTGACTGCTGCATGTTGTACTAAAAGGTGGCATGAGTTTTCCTCAATTACAGGCTTCAATCTGATTAGCTGGCTGATGGTCATTTTGTACAAAGACAGATGCATCTTCAGTTCATTTCTTGAGGCTCAGAGCCAAAGCACAACCAAAACAATGTTCTTCCCCAAGATGCATGTAGTTTTATTTGTTAACTGCTAGAGTGCCAAAAGTTGCATACTGTAGCTTTAAGGAAATAAACAACAACAACAACAAAAAAAAGCAAAAACGAACAAAAGTACATTCAATGTAGAAACCCATGATAATTATGATTATCTAAACTAGACACAGGTGATAACAATCAGAAACCACAGAAAGTAAGAAAAACTGGAAATGTATACAGACAATATGTGACAAAACAATATCAAAATAAGAGTCCTTTGAGTATAAAAGAACATGGCAGGTATGATGCTACAATGTAACTTTATACAAAATCAGATGCATATTTTTAGTTAATTAATAATTACTTTCTGATACTAATTGCATCATGTTTGCCTTTATCAGATGATGCTTCAAGAGTGAAGTTGTCAATGTGTGGCAGTCCCTTTGATGACTACATCAATGCCAACTACATCCCAGTGGGTATATAAACAGAAGTAAAATTGCCTGAAACATTTTTTTTTTCTAGTCATGTCTAACCAGGGTTTTACCTTTTTTTTTTTAAAAATCAGGGCTACAATTCAAGAAAGGAGTTTATAGCAGCTCAGGGTCCGTTACCCGTCACAGTGAATGAATTCTGGAGAATGGTCTGGGAGAAGAACGTCTACACCATAGTGATGCTGACCAAATGCAATGAGATGGGACGAGTGAGTTTTCATTGTGAAATATTATTAGTCACATGAAAAGTGGTCAATGTGAAATGTGAAAATGTACAGGTGCATCTCAATAAATTAGAATGTCGTGGAAAAGTTCATTTATTTCAGTAATTCAACTCAAATTGTGAAACTCGTGTATTAAATAAAATTGAGATGCACCTGTATATTCAGAGTAAAGATAACCAGCACTCTGTCATTTTCTCCAGGTGAAATGTGAGAAGTACTGGCCATCTGGGACTAATCATTATCATAACATCTCTGTGACGACCACCTCAGAGATCGAACTGGAGAGTTGGACAATAAGAGACTTTAGAATCAAAAATGTAAAGCAACACTTCCTGCACTTGATATCTCCATTTATTCCTTCAATAGCATACAGGAGTGGAAAATTGTTGTTGTTGGTGTTGTTGTTTTTAAATCAGTAATATTTTACAATAATATGACTGATAATTCTGTAGGTGAAAACAGCAGAATCTCGCTACGTACGCCAGTTCCACTTCACGGCGTGGCCGGATCATGGAGTTCCACAGACCACTGAAGTCCTCATCGACTTCAGACACCTGGTGAGAGAACACATGGAGCAGTACTCACGTCACTCTCCAACTGTGGTGCACTGCAGGTAAATTAGGTTCCTATAAACAACCATTCATGAATTAAATTACAAAGCAAACATGAGAATTTCAAATTTGCCATCTGTTAAACTTTCATCTAATTATTTGACCCTCACACTTTTTAGTGCCGGTGTGGGAAGAACGGGGACCTTTATTGCCATTGACCACCTGATCTTCCAGGTTGAAAGAGACAGCATGGTGGACATCTACGGAATCGTTAATGATATGCGCATGCACAGGCCTCTTATGGTGCAGACTGAGGTAAGGGACTGCAGAGTAATTTTCTGGGGATCAGTACAAATTAAGCTTGTACCTCCTTTAATACCTGGACGTTACATTGAGGCAATTAAAATGGTAGTAAATGCAGCCAGTTTTAGAGCAGAAATGTGAGGCTTGTAATTTTATACAAACACTTACTGTAACAAAGCAGACTGAGCCAGATGACTCTTTGAACCCAAGTGCTTGGGTTCTTTACTGAACACACAGGTGAACAGCAGGAGGAGCAGGAAAGGTGGTAGAAATCTGACACAGATGTAGAAGATGACACAGTGGTAATGCAGGTGGAGGTAATGATGGTACAATGGTACAAAGAGGATCCACAAGGGAGTCATGAAGACAACACTACTGAAGAGTAGTGCAATCAGAGAGTCCTCTTTGTAAGACTATGAGGGTGAGCATGTGACAAGTCTATACAGAGTTCTTGATGAGCTGGTTAATTTTGAACAAATGTACATGATCCAAAGTCCAGGGTAAGTGAGGGGGAGGGGCACTCTAGTTTACCACATTTCTGAGGAGCTGGATGTTTGTGATGATCATAGTGGAACATTTTGAGTAGGGATGTTTCAGAATGTCATCTTGAGGGACCTTCGGCATTTGTCTGGGATGCTTAGCACGAATGGGCCAGTGTATCGAGGACATTACTTTCTGCATAGAAGACAGAGATAGAGGTCACATGTAAATAACTAGACGTTCTGTCCGAACTGGTAGAAAGGAGTGTCCGATCACTGGGCATCACAATGGCCTTTCTGATGTCAGACAGCACACTGCAGCTGTACATGCCGTTGGTACCAGTTGTCGAAACAGAGAAGCAGGGACCAGGGAAAACAGAGAAGGCTGAAATCACACTGGAGGACACACAGGAATGTGTCATACCCATGGATGGCTGGCAGAGAGAGTTTTGGGTATATTAAGCCAAGGACAGGAAGTGACTCTAGTACTGCTGATGTTGATGGCAGTAAGTTCTAAGGAACTGGGAAATTGGGCATGATAGCCTGAAGAAAGTCTAGCAGTGGTGGCCAGCAGCTTGAAGAAAGCTTCCAGAATTTGCATATGAATTGTGGACTTCCAAGAGTCTGTAGTTCCATAAGACATGATGAAGCAATATTTCTGCAGTCTCAAAAGCTGTTGGTAACCCCTTTAAAGAAACGATGTCGCAGGTTTTTAGAGAAACAGCCATCCGGATACAGGTTTGACTACTGAGGGAGGAAGGTTGGTCATGACCGGGGAAAGGGTTTGGGTTGTCCCTGGATGTCCAGAGTCCAGAAAGGAGTGCAAGGAGTCCAGGAGTTAGTTCCACGGGGCGGCAGGAACACACAGCTTCTGTTGTGGTGGCTTGGGTTATCTGTTCACCCAGGGTCCAATGGATGAGGCTAATGGTGGAAGATAGAAAGAACAAAGTCTGGAAGAATGGATTCTGGAGCAGAGACTGGATAATCGGTGGAATGGAGATGAGAGAGCATCAATGCTAGTATGTTTGGGCCCTGGATGATACATGAAAGAAGCTGAATCTAGAGAAGAACAAGGGCCACCAGGCCTGGTGAGGGTTCGACCATTTGGCATCGCAGAGGGATTCCAGGTTTGATGACCTGGAACGAATGGTTGGAACCCTCAAGCCAGTGGTGCCACTGCTGGAATGCATGCGTAAGTACTGTAGCTCCCAGTTGCCAAAATCATACTTTTGCTTGGTGGAAAACATTTTTTTTTTCTCCAAAAATGACGTGGTTGAGGTGAATGCCTTCTTTAGTTGCTGGAAGGCTTGAGCCACTTCAGATGGTGAGGGGAATGACAATGGAGATTAAGTTTCAGAATAGGCATCTGTCAAAGTTTGAGAAGCTGAGGAAGCATTCTTTATTGGTGGTTGGAGTAGGTCAGGATTGGATAGCTTGCACCTTTTTATGGTCCATCTGGACCAATGATGTATCTAAAGCCCAAACTATTCTGTTGAATGTATTGTATTATTTTAACTGTGAAGCTGTTAAAATAATCACTGTAGGATTTATGACGAGCTGTCACAGTGACAGAGTTGTAAAATTGGATATGATGTTACACAGAAAAGCAATAATAAGCTATTTTTTCATATTGTATGTTAACATGCTTATTGTTTACGTCAAGTAGATATTCTACTTAACTATACTACTTAGCCAAACACTGTGACCTTTTGCTTTGTTTTTTTTAAATGGAGGGCCAAGTGGAAATTATCTTTGTGGTAATTAACATTATGAAACAAATGTTACTGATTGAGCTTCACTTGTACTGAACCCAGAATATTCCTTTAAGATGACAGAAATTGGTGCTGACATTTGTTGTACTTCTACATAGAAACTGCCTCTTGAAGTAAAGAAGACTAATATTTGTACGCTATTTTCTGTTTTCTACAACAGGAGCAATATGTTTACCTCCACCAGTGTGCATATGACATAATTCGATCAAGAACTGGAACCAATGTGGACTTAATTTACCAGAACGCAGCAGCACTCAGTATCTATCAGAATATAAACTATCAAGAAACGTAAATGTACATGACCTCAAGATGGCACTTGTCAAACAATAAGAGAAATTTAAGACTGCATTAATCGCATTTTAAGTTTCACATATACATATGTATGTCCTTTACATATAGCTGGATATACCTTTGAGTAATATTTTAATTTTAATGAATACATTTAAAAGATTACACTGGAAAAAAGGCAGCCATTTTCTATGTAATAATAATTTAAAGTAAACAGCAAGTAATTGTATTTCTGTTATTTCAATCAAGAGATCTTTATTTTTTTACTGAAAAATGTCCAAAATAATTATTTGTGTAATTTGACAGAATATATTTACTGCAATATCAAACATCTGTACATTTTAATACTGACATGATTGTATATGCTCATAGGGACCTTTGTGCGATCCCAAGTTTTATAAAATGTTCATATCTTCAAAGTTGTTTAGAAGAATATAATGCATCATATATTATTTAACCATTTTTTCCACACTAGAAGGCACTCCCAACCTGTCAGTGCACATCATAAAAATGGAAATATGTGTGTGCTGTTGTAGTGATAATTACAAATTAAGAAAATATAAGTTATTGTACAGTTAAAGTAGATTTTGCAGTGTGCATGAATCTCAACCTGCTGTGCTGGATATGAGCACTTGGGATTTGTAATTTATGTTGCATTTTATTTTTATACCATTGGTTTCAACCTTCTAATTTGATTAGCATTACACGAGTGCTAATAGCTATACTAATAACTACAACAACAACTATAACTACAAACTATCCAAATTCTGTCTGAAACGTAAGTAACTCCGTATTTACTGCACATTTATTTAAAAGCAATCACACCCGCAACTGTGTTGTTTTTATACTTAGCACAGCTGTGATAAGCTGCACTCTGTGATATTGCTCAAAAATATTTTATAAAACACTGTTTAAGCCATTTCTACTATTTATACATTTCTATGATCAATACTTGGAATACTTTTGTTTAATATTTCATTTGTACTTGAACAATAGAAGCATCACTTTCACACTTACATTTTACACTGGTGACTTCACGAAAATAATTTTCACTTGTTTCTAGCTTCTACAGCTTTTGTGAACTTATTTGTATGTATGGATGCTATTTACGAAGATTCTTGCATATAGGAAGTGTCTTTACTGTACCTCTTTTTGGTTTTACCAAATGATGATCCATGCTTCGGGAAGAATCTGATACATGCTGGAAACAATGAACACAAAATGAATAACAAATAAATTAATTTTAAGACTAGTACTCTGTTCAGTGACTCACTGCAGTGAGAACTTACAGTTCATATCACCACTAGACGTCTGAATAAAACCAGAGGTCACATAATATTTGATGAGTAAAACATGTAACATGGAATTGATTCATTGTTATTTAACAAAGTGCTCTGTGCATTTCTTTTGCAGTTATACTGTAAAGATTTATGGCAGAAAACCATGTAAAGCCATGGTGTGTAAAAGTCACCAGACATCCACTGGCATTAATATCAGCTCCAAAACTGCAGCAGGAGCTTCATGGAATGGATTTGCATGGCTGAGCAGCTGCATGCAATCAATCAATTAATCAAACCAATATTTATTTACTGTATATAGCAAAAACAACAGACGTTGACCAAAGTGCTGCACAATATAAAAGACTACAATGAAGATAGTAGTAAGATGCTAGATAGTAAGAAGGCGCCGCACACGGCCGCCTCAGTGCTTGGCTCTCCAGTGTTTGTACTGTTTTTGTTCGTTTTTCCTGTTTTTTGTTTCTCAAACACGATCAGTTTTACCAGGGATGAACTGCTGAACATTCGGCAGAACACACCACAAAATCTTCTACCGGATTTCGATTATTTGGACGTTTTGCTGAACGTTGTAGTTGGCGGAGCAGCGGCGCTGATCAAGCGCTTCAGGACGCGCAGACGGGGGAAGAGAGCCGGCGCACTCGTGAAGCTCAGGCAGCGCAGATTTCGAACGCCGTTGCCTGGCATCCATCTGGCGAATCTCCGCTCTCTACCCAACAAAACGGAC